CCGTGTGAACATAATAGAAACTGTCAGATTAGACGGTGATTACAGTGTCGCCATCGTCTCCACCTCATCATCATCATCATCATCTCCTGTTCTCCCTTCCTCCCTTCTTCTTGCTTATGTGAACTTGCTTGTGTGAATCCCTACGGAATCCGCTAGGCAAGACAACGACTACAACGTCCTCTACAGTATCGTCGTCTCCAACTCCGACCTTGACGAGCCGTCAGCCGTTCCCATGTGGGAAGGCGCAGCGGGAGAGTTGGGAAAACCCGTCGTCGCTCTGGTCAACCCCGATGTCCAGTGGACGAATCCAAACCCTCCCAGGTGCTATTATAACCAGAGATCGACCCCCGCCCCGCCTCCTCTAATCTACTCTTATGCTATTGATGGCGCTTGGCTTGAAGCGAGTACACTCTCTGCCGATGACGGGCAGACAATAAAGCAGCTGGTGGATTCGATTATAGCGAAGCCGGAGTCATCCGCATGCTCTGATGAGTGACATTTGCACCTCTACTAGTTGTGTTACAGTCATTAGGTATCAGCCGTAAACTTCCACGAATCAATCCTAGGGAACTGCTTCATTTCATGCGTTCATTCCACCACCTGCTTACTTTCTGACATGTTCTTTCCACCTACGTTTCGATATCTTTTATCTTATGTGTTTGCTTGATGTTTATCTCCCTTTCAGCGACCACAATGGCGCGCCTTGTGAATGACAGAAACGGCGGAAAGGATGAGGGAGCCCTGGACGCGGGCCCATGTCCGGTGCCCTCGTGGATCGAGGCTGCGGCTCTCGGGAATCTGACGGGTGAGAAGAGAAATGCTATGGGAAATTTGAAAACCAACGCTTGGCAGGCCATGATTATGGTAGTTTTTCTGGTTCAGAAAATGCGGATACATGGTTTATCTTTATTTCATAGTATGTTCATCCCCTCCCTTTCCGCTCACTTTCCTCCACTGTTTCTCCCCGCCCATCTTCTCCCCTTCTCTCTCGAGCAGCGATTCTCGCCGCGCGGCTCAACGGATCCAAAATGGTTGGCCCCACGGGCGACGTCAACCCCACCGGCCGAATCTGCCTCGCCATCTACGAGTAAGTCAACCTCACGTCACGGTGATGCGGTCCCCTTAGTGCCACGGCCTGCCTTTTTTTCTGTCAGTTTGAGTTCATTCAACTGTTCCTTCCGTTCTTTTTGAAAATGCAACCGAGAATTTTGTTATCTCCCTAAGCTATGCGCGTTCCCTTACTCCCTTCCGTCTGCATGCGAGGCGATTGCAACGTCTTGTACAGTGTTGTTGTCTCCACCTCATCACCTCCAGTTCTCCATTCCTCCTCTGCTTGCTTGTCTGAACTTCGAACTTTGCAAGACAACGACTACAACGTCTCCCGTTCTTTATTTCTCCCTTCTTCTTGCTTATGTGAATCCCTACGGAATCCGCCAGGCAAGACGACTACAACGTCCTCTATAGTGTCGTCGTCTCCACCTCCAACCCCAGCGAGCCGGTCGCCCTTCCCATGTGGGAAGGCGCAGCGGGAGAGTTGGGAAAACCCATCGTCACTCTGGTCAACCCCGGTGTCCAGTGGAGGAAACTTACTCCTCCCCCTCCCAGGCGCTATCTTGACCAGAGATCGACCCCCGCCCCGCCTCCTCCAATCTACTCTTATGCTATAAACGGCACTTGGCTTGAAGCGAGTACACTGCCCACCGATGACGGGCAGACAATAAAGCAGCTGCTGGATAAGATAATAGCGAAGCTTGATGGGTACTACGCGAGATTAGAAACGAATGCTTATGCATCGGGTGCAGCGAGGGGGCAGTTCAAATCGGAGCCAATTCATGTTGGTAAGGGCGTGTCCAGTTCGTTCATTTCGGGATTTTTCGTGCCAACGCACGTATCGAGGTTCAAAAATGACTACCGTACCTAGAAACGAATGCATTGTGAGTGGAGTCCAACCATCCTGTAATTTCAGAAGCGCGGACACATTCCCCGCCCCACGAATCAACAGTGCTCTGACCACGTTGAAAACGAGGTAACAGTTTCCCTCGTCAATCATAGCTTGAATTTTTTTGTGCAGGCGCAGGGGGGGCTGGCGAGTAGAGCGAACCACTGACGAAATCGTGCAAGCGATGCAAGGGAAACGAACTGTAGTGGCCAGGACGCGGTGCTGTACCCTTGTTCGCGTCCCTGCTGATTCCAGTAACGTGAGTCAGACGACTCTAGGTACGTGCATGGGGCGTGCCGTCTTGCGAACAGAAGCTGATTGTGTCCGCTGGACACGTTCAATAAAGGGTTACCACAAAAAATGTGGTAACTGAGGGGGTTTACGAACAGTAAATGTACGAGCTGGACCCCCCCTAAGAAGTGCTTCCCGCTTCTAGCCTTCTTCAGCCCTCTTGCCTTGCCCGCTCGTGCCTCCCGCACCATTTTTACTGTTACGGATGTAACGACTCGCTCTTGCTACATATGTAACGACTCGCTCTTGCTACGGATGTAACGACTCGCTCTTGCTACGGATGTAACGACTCGCTCTTGCTACAGATGTAACGACTCGCTCTTGCTACATATGTAACGACTCACTCTTGCTACGGATGTAACGACTCGCTCTTGCTATGGATGTAACAACTCGCGCTGCCTCTTCCCTTCATTCTTCTTTTCGATGTCGCTTTCTTTCTCTCCGTGGTCTCGTGCAGGTACGGTGGGAACCAATTTCACTTGCCCCGGCACTGGTGACGTCAACGCTATAGGCTTCTTTTTTCTCAGCGCCTTCCTGTAAGCTTCGCCATTTTTCCCCTTCGTTCACCCCTCACTCTCTCAACGTCCCTCACTTCTCGCACCTCTTTTTTATCTTCTTTTCTTTTTTTCTTTTTGTTGCCTGGTTACCCTATCCCCTCACTACTTGCCCGTGGCCTAACACCCGCCCCTCCCTGCCCCTCCTCGCCCACCCCTGCCCCTCCCTGCCCCTTCCTGCCCCTCCTTGCTCTTCGCTGCCACCCTACTCCTCAAGAATACCTTAACTAACGACGACCACATTCGTTTCCACGTCGACGTGACGCTAAGCAATCCTGGTGATCCCAACAGCGTCGTCATTAAGAAGGTCAATGACGTGGCACTCACCGTGGTCTCCAGCAACGCCATGTGGACCAATCGCACACTCTCAGAGGCCGAGCGCGCCAAGCTGGGCGGCAAATTGACTCCCAAGGGCAAGAAGGGCAAGAAGCCGCCTCCCCCGCCGCCCCTCTACTACAACTACGTAACCTCCGGCACTTGGCTAAACGCCAGTACTTTGAAGGCGGATATCGGGCAGACTTACAAGGAGCTGATGGATGCCTTGCTGGTTGCTCCTGCCATTTACTCTGCTCGTGTCTACACCAAGTGGTTCAGGAACTGTGCTGCAAGCGGATCTTTAGCCATGCTCGCCTAGGATGGTCAACAGGCCAGCATATTAATAATGCACTGGTATGAAGGCAATTCACCTATTTCTATGATGCATGTATGATAGGGTATGGTATATGTAAGTCTGCAGATATAAAGGATGTTGTAAGAGTATAGCCTTTTGTAGCAGCTTGCATTTCATTACTTCCAACGCCTGATGACTCCTTGACTCACTATCAGAGAATGCATGGGTGAGTGGGTGCAATGAAAGGTACCAACCACCTAACTCAAGCATCCCATCTCTAGCTTCACTATTATTTGGTATCACCTAGACTTTGTTACCGTATGTCCGTTCATCAATGAAGTTGACGTCAGTGTACTGCGACAATGAACCCGCTTGACAGCTTGAGGGGGTGTGAGAGATAGAAGCTCGCTGCCAGCTGCACGTGGATGTAACTCGTTGTGCTCCCTGATATTGTCAGCCTGTTATGAACACCTTCGTTTTAAGCTGTCGTTAAGCAGGTATAATCGATAGAGAGAATAGTTGGCACTGTCTCTATCATGATTTCTAAACTAAGACATCTGGTTTTGTGCTCGTACAGAGGTGTCCGTACTCTTTATAGAGACTTTCGCCATCCCCTGCTGTTTTTTCATGCTGCACCACCTGCGCGTGCATCTCAGGGAATAATAGGTCAAGCAGAGGAAAGCAGTTGGCCAAGTTTATTGTGGGTGCACCGGAACAGAGCATGAGGCTCCGTGAGGAAAGGAGGAGCCACCAGCTTCACCTGAATTTCCCCTTGGGTTCTGATCTGACCTGTGTGGCGAGGCAATTCATCCTTCACCTCTGCAATGTGGGACTAGAGAATTTCGCTTCGACTGGGTTGCCCGTACCATCCGTGATCGATTGGATCAGAACAAAATGATGATGAAAGGGGGTAATTGAGAAGTCGGCAGCCCCAACCCTCTAAACTTATATCCCACTGATGTTTACAGAAATATCAAGGTTGGGTTTCCACAAATTTCGTTTGTTGTTGCCCGCAACCGAGCCCTCAAAATGTTTATCCATGTCACACGCTGTGCGGTTCCCTTTCCCGCCAGGTACCCGAATCTCGCAGCGCATTCTCTTGGTTTCCCATAGCCTGCAGAGTCTAACACGAGAAGGCGAGGAACATTTCCGGAAACCGAAGGTTTTCACTGTATACCGCTAGTTAACATTCCGCACCGTACTGAAATGTCTACAACTCTCTCGAACGCAACCAGCAGTTGCCCAGATTTCCTTGCTGAGGATAAATACCACTCGACTAGCAAACGAGATATCACCAGTTCCTTCGCACCTGCCTCACACAACCTGCGTTTATTCTCATATCCTTAGGAATCGATTCAGCAGCTAGGGAATTTGGTCTGCCATGGGGCTCCGCCCTTACCTCTGCTTGTCAATGTGCCTCCTAGTTGTCACAGCATCCATCAGTGAGTGATATATGAATATTCACATTTGCTACAGCCGAGATCACCAGCAGAATCCCTATGAATCAATCACAGCGAGATGCTTCATCTTCCATGAGTCCGCTACATTGATTAACTTCTTATTTGCAATTTCAAAAGCTTGTTCCATGTGTGCTTCTGCTGTGCAGGAATCACGACCGCACGCCCTGTGAATAAGGACAATAAAGGCGGGAAGGAAGGGCCCCCGGATGCAGGCCCGTGCCCGCTGCCCAAGCCAAAAGATGCTGAGCCTCTCGGGAATCTGACGGGTGAGAACTCTCCGGGAAGTCTGACGCATGATAGGAGCTCGGGAAATTTCTAGATGCTTGGCTAACCGTGTGGCATGTCCTTACAAGAATCCACGCGTTGGTTACTGCTTTTACAAACAAAACAGCAGCTTCCCTCCTCTTCTCGCCTCTCATCTATCCTCCTGTCTTTTTCCCCGCACTCTCACAGTCCTCTCCGCCCTTCTCTCACACTCTCTCGCTCCCCCGCTCCCATTCCTCAGCGTGCCCTCCTCTTGCAGAACACCCCCCCCCCCCCCCCCCTTCAACCCCCAATCCCCATCCCCCTCCGTTTCCGCGCAGCGATTCTCGCCGCGCGACTGAACGGATCCAATGTGGTTGGGGCGACGGGCGACGTCAACGCCACTGGCCGAATCTGCCTCGCCGTCTTCAAGTAAGCCAGCCACCTGTTTTCTTTCCGTTCTCCCTCGACCCACGTCACCTGGTCCTCTCTGCTGCCTTCCGTCCCTCCGTTGAATAAACTGAAACCTTCCGTCGAACCCACATTATCATCCCGAGAGTACCTTCTCCCTGAGCGGTGCGCATTCCGTCCTTCCCGCTCGCTTGTGTGAACCCTGACGGAAACCGTCAGGCTAGACGGCGACTACAACGTTTTCTACAGTGTCGTCACCTCCACCGCCGACGACGGCGAGCCGTTCGGCGCGACGATCTCGATCGGCGCGGCGGGAGAGGGGGGCGACGCCGCCGCCCTTTTAGTACAAGCAGGAGAAACCACCACGTGGGCGAATCTTACCCGTCCACCGCCTCCGCCGCCCAAGGGCAAAAAGAACAAGGGAACACCACCCCCTCCGCCTCCTCCGAAGTACACTTATGCGTCACACGGGACGTGGCTTACAGCGAGTACAATGGCCACGATCGGCGGGCAGACTCTAAAGGCGCTGGTGGATGCGATGCTCGCGAATCCGGATGGTTACTACGCGTCGTTCGCGACGACTGGTTATGACTCGGGTGCGGCGCGGGGGCAGTTTCAGTCGGACCTGCTTCCGCCGCCGCCTAAGGACAAGCAGGGCGGCAAGGACGGAGGAAAGAAAGGAGGGATGGATGGCGGGAAGAACGGCGGGGGGAAGAATGGAGGCGATCAGTTCGGCACTCTTGTCGGTAAGCGCATAAGAAATAGAGACTTCACGTCTTTCCGCTCCAAGCCTTCTCCGCTGCTTTTCCTCGCCACCATTCATACTTGCTTAGGAATCAACCGCCAACCGTGCATTGTTTCCTTTCTGTGATTCCGCGATTTCGTGCAGGCGTGATCGCAGCGCGTGTCAACGGCTCTAATGTTGACCTCCAAGGTGACGTCAACGCCACGGGCTGCGTTGACCTCGTCATCTTTCTGTAAGCTTCTCCTTCTCTCTTTTACTCACGTGTACTTCTGCTCTCTTCTCGCTTCTCACTACTCACGTCACGTCTCATTCTCCTCCGTTCACCCCTTACTCTCTCAACCTCCCCTTACTTCTGGCATCCTGTTTTTGCCTCTTGTTAGCTTTGCCCCTCTTTACCCGCCTGTCCCATGGCCAAACACCCGCCCCTCCCTGCCCCTTCTCCCCCCTCCCTTCCCCTTATCGCCCTTCCTTTCCCCTCCTTACCCCTCCTTGTCCCTACTTGCCACCTCCCTCAGCAACGCCACAACTTACGACTACGACATTCGTTACCACGTACGCGTCAGTCTGAATGACTCTGGCGAGCCCATTGGTGTCGTCATCAAGAAGGGCGCTGACGTGGCACTCACTGTGCTCACCAGCGACGCCACGTGGACCAATCGCACGCTCTCAAACGCCGAGCGCGCCAAGCTGGGCGGCAAACTGACTCCCAAGAGCAGGAAGGGCAAGCAGCCGCCTCCCCCTCCCCCTCCCCTCGGCTATAACTACGAAACCTCCGGCACTTGGCTAAACGCCAGTACTTTGACGGCGGATAACGGGCAGACGTATAAGGAGTTGGCGGATGCCATGATGGCTGCACCTGACAACTATTCTGCTCTCATCTACACCAAAACATTTGAGAATGGTGTGGCGAGTGGCGGTTTTGCGAATGTCAGCAAGGGTGGTGGTGAAGCCTCTGCCAAATTGGCAGTTAAATTATATCGGGTTTTTAGACTTGCCCGAATCATTAAACATCACTAGTGCTGTAGTACCTTCTATAGTTACATTGGCCTTTAAATTCCGGGTTTATTGACTCAATGAGAGCCTCAGTTCGGAATCTATGCTAGCCTGAAAACCTAATATATCGCCCAATACTATGGCTCGGTTCCGGCAAGATCATATGCTTCAGCGCACCCACAACCATGCGTTTCAGCGCACCAGGGCATGAGCAGCAGCAGCTGCTATTTCACGCGCCCTGGGGCATGAGCAGCAACGGCTGACACTGCAGCAGCCCTAGGACAAAGTCCAGCCACAAGCAACCTTCCAGACCCCACTTCCTGCCCCACTCTCTCATCCGCCCACAGGTCATCAGTCGTGTTGTTATAAGTGAAGGATCTTAGTGGATAGGATAAGTCTCTCAAGTATGAGAGAAGACAATGAAGTCTTTGTAATGACCTTGTTAATAAGTTGAAAGAGAACAAGATGATTAAATGATAGTGGTACAAAGATATAAATAGCAATCCTAGCTAGCCATGTACTCTGAGGGGTACATTCCTTTATCAACTGAATTGTCAGAATCCCTCTGCATGAAAGATTGGATTAGCAAGAGTTGGGGTACAAGTACTAACCCTAGAAGTGTTGTACCCCATAAGGAATGCCCCATACAAGTAAGATTGTACTTTGACACACCCCCATAGGCTACGTGGGGGACAACAAGACGGTCACAAGACCAGTCAAGCAAGACAACCGAGCAAAGCAAAGCAAAGCTCAGGGTGGATCTCAAGGACACCACACAATCCGAGCACAAGCAAGCGGCCACAAGGCCAGTTCACATGCAGAGTTATATTAGCAAGGCAGTACAATAATCACAACCTAGCAAGAGTAAACAAGCAGGTATCAAGACATATATCAGTGAACAACAAGAGCAAGTCAAGCAACCAGCAGGTGAGGCAGAGTGGGCACAAGCCCAAGAGCAGTGTCGAAACGTTGATGATCACCAGACCCAAGGGCCTTGGTGAACACATCAGCAGTGTTGGCCGGCAAGGCCACGTAGGAAAGGCGGAGCTGACGACGCTGCTGGAGCTCACGCGCAAGGAAGTAGCGAAGAGCAATGTTCTTCGTTCTGTGCTCCTGTCTCCGCTCGTGACACAAGGCAAGCATTGCCTTGTTGTCGACGTATAAAACTGGAGGAGAACGAAGCCGCTCCCCCAAGTCGGTCAGTAGGTAGGTCAGCCAGCGTAGCTCCTGTGCAGCCATGGCCCCAGCGTAGATCTCGACCTCACAGCTGGAGCCAAGCACAGAAGAAGAACGAGTGGACCTCCACGAGACAGAACCAGAGCCAAGACTGAAGTTGTAACCCAGTGACGAACGCTGAGTCGCCTGGTCGTCGGCCCAAGAAGCGTCGGAGTGTCCTGTGAGTACCACTGAACCCTGTCCTCCAAGCACTAGCCCCATGCCCGATGTACTGGACAAGTAACGCAGTACCCTCTTCACACCATCCCAGTGCACCTTTCGGTGTCGACCGGGAGCCACGTAGCGAGCCAGGAGGCTGAGAGGGTACGCAAGGTCAGGTCGTGTGCACGTCATCAGGTACATGAGGCAACCCACAAGCTATGGGTACAGACCACTCGGCTCTACGGACTCGTCCGAAGGTGGAGCTAAGAGCGAGTGGCCGGTAGACAGAGGAGTGGGCTGTGGCGAGGAGAACTGAAAGCCGTGGTGCTGAAGGACATGGTGCATCATGTGTGACTGAGTCAGGGTGATGATGCGCCGTGCTCTGTCCTGTGTGAGCTGCAAGCCAAGATAGCTGCGCAGCTCACCCAGGTAAGTGCACGTGTGTCTTTCCTACATCTCCGTCTTCACTAGGGCCAGCGCCCCAGTGTCAGCAGTAGCAAAAGCCAAGTCGTTGACGTACACTAGAATGTAGAACGGCGGCAAGGTAGTGTCGGTGCGTAGAAATAGCGACGGGTCAGCTGAGGAAGGAGCAAACCCAAGAGCCGCAAGTGTAGTCCTCAGTGTGTCGTGCCAATCTCGGGACGCTTGGCGGAGACCGTAGACTGGCCGCCGGAGGCTCCACTGGGTACCCGCACGAAACGACCCAGTGAAGCCAGGTGGGCGGCACAGCCACTATGTTTGCCCCAGGAGGAGGAACCTCGTTGACGTAGGTGCCTATGGACTTCCAGGAAGCCATCTCTGCGTCCATGGCTGTCTGCCACTGAGAGGAGTACTCACCCATGATCGCCTCAGTGTAAGAGCGCGGGGTAGGGATGTCAAGTGCATCCGGGTCTCCCTCAGGGCAAAGCAACATGGATGCAAAACGAGGTAAAGCGGTCGCAAGACACTCAAGCTCAAACTGTCTGTTCTCAAGTACGTCACTGCCAAGGGTAAGCTCACCCCCAACGGACGGAAGACAGACAGACTCAGAATCAGTGACAAGAGTCGCGACGTAGTCGAGACGACTCCTAGCTGCAAAGTCGACTAGCTCAGTGACTAGGGCAAACGCTGCAGTAGACTTAAGGTCAGGATCAGTGACGCCATTAGTGAGGAGACGAGTGACAGTAGGACTGGCAGCACGAGCAAGGTCGGACTCAGGGCCAGGAACGTGCAGAAGAGAGGACGCGGGAGGCTCAGGTAGGACAACACGCAGTGGAACAGAGGAAGGACGAATTGCCATACCGTGAGTGCCTAGGACAGTAGGAGGACGAGGACGGGCGACACGACGAGCACAAACAGGTGTGGAAGCACGAGTCTCAGGCTCACGACGCTTAGTCAGGGACTCAGTCACCTCAGTGTGAGGAGCAGGCGCAGGCAGCGGGGAGCCAGGCAGTAGCTGTGGCTGAGACTTGTCTGTCGGTGGACACTGGAGGGGTAGAGGGAGGCCAGGGGAAGATGGGAGACTAAGAACCTGGCGAAGGACTGAGTCAGGCGGCGGAAGGGATGACTGCGGCTGCGGGTAAAAAAAACGGTATGCGCAGGGAAGTACCAGCAGCTCCGACTCCTCCAGCACTAGTAGCACCAGTACCTCCAGCACCAGCAGCTCCAGCAGTACCTCCAGCACCTCCAGCACCTCCAGCACTAGCAGCACCACTAGCTTCGGCAGTGCCAGGACCTCTAGCACCAGTAGTACCTCCAGCACCTCCAGTGCCAGTAGCTCCAATAGCACCTCCAGCACCTCCAGCACCAGCAGCACCACCTGCTCCGGCAGCTCCATTACCTCTAGTACGAGCACCTCCAGGACCAGCAGCTCCAGCACCTCCAGTACCTCCAGTACCTCTAGCTCCAGCGCCTCCAGCACCAGCAGTACCTCCAGCACCTCCAGTGTCAGCAGCTCCAGTAGCACCTCCAGCACCTCCAGCACCTCTAGCACCAGCAGTACCACCTGCTCTGGCAGCTCCAGCACCTCCAGCACCAGAAGTACCTCCAGTACATCCACTGCCAGCAGCTCAAGTAGCACCTCCAGCATGAACAGCACCACCAGCTCCGGCAGCTCCAGCACCTCCAGTACGAGCACCTCCAGGACCAGCAGCTCCAGCAGCTCAAGTACCTCCAGCTCCAGCGCCTCTAGCACCAGTAGCACCTCCAGCACCTCCAGTAGCTCCAGGATTAGTAGGTCCAGCACCTCCAGCACCAGTAGCACCTCTAGGACTAGCAGCTCCGGCACCTCCAGCACCAGCAGCACCTCTAGTACCTCTAGCACCAGCAGCACCTCCAGCACCAGCAGTACCTCCAGTGCCTCCAGCACCAACAGTACCTCCAGGACTAGCAGCTCCAGCACCAGCAGGACCGTACCCTCCACCACCAGGACTGCCTTGCCGAACGATCCACGCACGAATCGCCTGCGGCGAGAGTGTCTCAAGTAGGTCAGGCTACGGTGGCTGTCCAGCTCCAGGACCTCCAGCAGGGTCACCCACGGCTCCACCGCCACTAGGACTCGCAGGACCCCCAGAGTCAGCACCCCCAGTCGTAGCACCCCAAGAACCAGCACCCCCTGTCGCAGCACCCCCAGAACCAGCACCCCCAGTCGCAGCACCCCCAGAACCCTCACCCTCTGTCTCAGCACCCCCAGGCTCAGCACCAGCAGTCTCAGCTCCAGAGTCCATAGCAACAGGCTGCGGAGGCGGCGAAGACGGCCGAGGCGGAAAACCAGGGGGGTCTCCAAGCGTGGAGAGCGGTGAGTGGCCGCCGTGTCGTCAGCGGCGGGGTCACCCCCCTCAGCTAGGCCAGAGGAGTCAGAAGAGACCTCCTAAGGCTCAACCAAGGGGGGTGGGTCTACCAGAGACACACCTGAGGGAGCAGGACCCTGTGGGGGGAGGGGGTCTACCGGGGGGGGGACTGGTACCAAGAAAAGAGGCGCTAGGGGGACCGGGTGGGACGCGTGCGGGTGTAGCCTGTAGTAGCAGATAGACTCGTCAAAGGTGACGTCCTGGGAGGAGAAGACTCGATGCGAGCACGGGTGGTAAAACTAACACGGCGGGGCGTCGGTGGGGAAGCCAAGGAAGACGCAGCGGAGAGTGCGAGAGGAGAGTTTGCTTGCTTTGGCATCGCGAACAAGGGAGAGTGCGCCCCAGACCCGAAACACCGACGCATCGCCAACCTTCCCCGTCCACCGGAGTGTAGGCGAGGTCTCTGGCTCAGAGACATGGGGCCAGAGGTTGAGCTGATGCGCAGCGTATCGGACCGCAAACGGCCACAGAAAATGGGGAGCAGCCACATGGATCATGGAGGTACGAGCCACCTCCATGATCAAGTCAATGCGACACTCAACAATCCCATTTTGCTGATGAGAGGCTGGAAGCGTGAACGACTGGTGGATGCCCTTGTCTCGACAGAACTCCGCAAGGAGATCAGAAGAGAACTCACCGCCCCTGTCAGAGTGCAGACGCAGGAGTGGGAAGTCTTGACTGAACTGCTCGCGTAGCTAGCGACAAGTAGCACGGATCCAGGGGTTCAAAACACCGCTGACGTCGGCCTTGCGCCGCAAGGGGAAGACAGTTGTGTAACGTGTGTAGTCTTCAACAACCAGCAGGAAGTAGCGCTCTTGGTCCGTTCCACCGACAGGGGTTGGGCCCCAAACATCCATGTGGAGAGTCTGCAGAGGAGCAGTGGTTGGAGGAAACTCAAAGGAGTGAGGAGTGGCGCGCTGCCGCCCCTCAACGCAGGGAAGGCACGGCGGGGCAGGCGAGCGCGGGGGGGAGGGCAGGGACCTGGGAAGGCCAGAGACAAGGAGACGGGAGTGCATACCGCGGAGACGCGGTAGGGAGGGGTGACCGAGGTGGTGGTG